ACCCCCCAGGCGGCTCCGGGCCTCTCCGAGGTTCGACAGCTCCAGGAAGTTTCCATGAAAGCACCTGAAACACCAAGTTATCTTGGCCAGAACTCCAGTGAGAAAAAGCCCCGCGCCCACTCAGGTGAGTTGCACCCGGGAACTCTGGGCTCTGCAGAGAGGAGGAAGGGAAGTTGAGAAAGTCTTTGGACCTGGTGGCCTGGCTCTCTTCCTCATGGCTTTGTCCAGCGGCCCCGGCAGGGACTGCTCCCATGTCATCGACCACAGCCACGTCCCCGAGTTCGAGGTGGCCACCTGGATCAAAATCACCCTCATCCTGGTGTACCTGGTCATCTTCGTGGTGGGCATCGTGGGGAACAGCGTCACCATCCGGGTCACCCAGGTGCTGCAGAAGAAAGGCTACTTGCAGAAGGAGGTGACGGATCACATGGTGAGCTTGGCTTGCTCGGACATCCTGGTCTTCCTCATCGGCATGCCCATGGAATTCTACAGCATCATCTGGAACCCCCTGACCACGCCCAGCGACGCCCTGACCTGCAAACTCCACACGTTCCTCTTCGAGGCCTGCAGCTACGCCACGCTGCTGCACGTGCTGACGCTCAGCTTCGAGCGCTACGTCGCCATCTGCCACCCCTTCAGGTACAAGGCCGTGTCGGGACCCTGCCAGGTGAGGCTGCTCATCGGCTTCGTCTGGGTCACCTCCGCCCTGGTGGCACTGCCCTTGATTTTCGCCATGGGCACCGAGTACCCCCTGGTGAATGTGCCCGGCGCCCGGGGTCTCACCTGCAACCGCTCGCGCACCCGCCACCACGAGCAGCCCGAGACCTCCAACATGTCCATCTGCACCAACCTCTCCAGCCGCTGGACCGTGTTCCAGTCCAGCATCTTTGGCGCCTTCGTGGTCTACCTCGTGGTCTTGCTGTCCGTGGCCTTCATGTGCTGGAACATGATGCAGGTACTCCTGAGGAGCAAGGCGGGCCCGCTGGCCGGAAACCCGCAGCAGCAGCAGCTGAGGAAGAACGAGAGCCCGGAGAGCAGGACCGCCAGGAGACAGACCATCATCTTCCTGAGTGAGTCCCAGGGGGAGGGCGACCTGGGAGCAGCCCCCCCCCCCCCACCTGTGGACTTCAGGAAGTCTTGCTCTACAAGTGTAAACTTGAGTTCACTGAGGTGGAAGAATCTTACAGCAGAATGAGGGCCTAGATCTGGTTTCTGGATATTTCTTCTCTGTGCTTTGGGGATTCAGTGGTGGCTTGTGGTGGAAAGAGTGCTAGACCAGGACTCAGAAGCTCTGGGTATACTCCAGAACATCACTGCTGTGACCTTTGGCAAGTCACAAAATACTTTAGGGATAATAAAGCTGGGATATATGAAAATGGATAAACGGGGACAATAATACTGGGAAGTATGAGGGACAAATTAGGTAATGCTGGAGGGGTGAAAGTCCTTTGGAAAGGACTAAGTTCTGCAGAGATAAAGGGAGCATTCTTATCTAGCTAGCTCTGTCTTTACCCTGGAAAACCTTTCTCAGACAATTCAATTTTGGATTCATTTCTTTTCCTCCTTTGGAGAAACCAGGCTGTCATAGACATATACTCTCCAGGCTGCTATTTTATTCCCTGGAGAGATCTTTTACCCAGTCTTAAGAAGTTGGAGATCTCAGACAGCACTCCCTGGGGTCATGTTTTGGTTTCTGTGGCAGTGACTCTGTTCCTCACCAAAGCAAAGCAACATGGCAGAACGGCCTGTTTATCTGATCCAGAAAATCCAACTTCACGGATTTCTAGGACTGAATTGATCTTCCCAAATACTCAATTCCCATGTCGAGAAATCTGCTTGTTTTCTGAACTTTTGTGGTGATAGAAACATTTAAAGTTGAAGTCTTTTCTGTATTTAAAGGGAGCCCACAGGTCTGTAGGCTTCAAAGCCTTCAGACGAGGGGCCTACCATCTGGGTGACGGAGGTTTGGTGGAGACACACGAAGTGTGTATGAGCAAAGGGTTTTTAAAATGTATTTTTTTGGAGCAGAAACAAGAAAAAGAATGCATTGTGGGGGCGTGACTGTGAGTCAAGAGGGAATTGATATAACAAATATTTCCCCCTTTCCCCTCTCCCCTTTCCCCTGTGGCATCTGGAAAAGGAGTACATCACAGTGCTGTTTGTTTTGGTGTGAGAAACCTGAGCAACAGGTTCCAGGAACAGGAGTTAGAAAATTGGAGGCCATTTGGAGAGAGATGGAAAGAACTGGATCTTGTCTCAGGCCTGCCCTTGGCTTCTAGTGTATTGGTGACCAGCTGACTTGACTTGCCTCTGTGTTTGTGCAACATGAGAGGAGGAAATTTGGAATATTTGAATGCCTACTCTGCCTCAGGAACCGTGCTAGGTGATTTATATTTCCATCTTACAGAGGAGGAATTTCAGGCTTAAAGAAGACCTAGTTCAAATTCACCTAAGTACCACTCCAAGAGTTTACCCCTGCTTCTCAGGGCAGGGAAATGAGTGTCTGCCCGTGACTTTTACAGGCATGTGGTGATAGGAAAATAAAATAAGGCAGAGTTTTGACAAGGAAGATGCTACATAGATTAGCCTGGTGGTGTTGGCCACATAGGGCCAGCCAGTCTTGGCAGGTAACTTTATTCAGGGACTTGGGAAGGGCACTCAGCCCATCTCAATCTCTATCACCCACTGGTTACTACTGAAAATATTCCAGGAAAGAATGGACATTGCATTTGCTTAAAGCTTGAATGTTTATTGAAAGGCTAGTTCTCCCTTCCTCCATTTATATCCCCTTAGGCATATGTGAATGAATTCGATTTCTTTTTTCTTTTCTTTTCTTTTTTTTTTTTTGTTCTGAGTGCAGGGCACTGGCCTGAGTTGGTAAGAATTATAAGGCAGACAAAAATTAGGAGGTGGTCTTCAACTACCTCCTAGTCAACTTAGGAATTAAAGCTGCCTTAGACTGAAGGGAAAATAATTGATTTATCTTTATTCTCTGTTTGATGCATCTCTGTGTTTTTTGCATTTCTCTGGTAGATGTCTGTTCTCTCCCCAGTGGGTGTTCCAAGTTAAATTCAGTCTCTGTTTTGGAGCATAAAATCTGAATGCCACAGACTTTTATTTAGAAATGGATAGGACCTTTGAGATCATCCCATCCTGTTAGTAATCGCCTGGAATGAGTTTATTCTCACCGCTGCTCTCATTCTTTCCTTCTAGCTTTTTTCTTCTTTCCTATAGCAACTGTATATTAATCACCCACTGTGTTCTCGGCATAAAGATTGTTGAATGGCAATCAGGTGCTCAATGTGCGATCATGTCCTGGAGGAATTTACCATTTGTATTTAGCCCATTTTCTCTGTGGTAGGTTTTCAAAGCAGTTCTTGCAAATGTCCTGCTCTCCCAATGAATTTCAAAGAGCTTTTAAAAATAGGAACCTCACTAATTAACTCAAGTTAGAAAATAAATTAATGAAGTGAAGAGGAAGAAATCATGGCCTGCATCCATCAGATTAATACAATGCAATTTACTTTGTGGGTTTCATAAAACTTGCGCTGAGGGGCATTTTTAACCCAGAACAAATGAACATAAATTGTTTACAAATCGCTGAATTTAATATAGTGATTTAGCTGTCTTTTTAGTATTTCATTTCACAGATGGATCAAATTAAAATAAATATTTGCTCATTTCAAACATATCTGGAATTTAATGTGAAATGTAAATGACGCCATAGCGCAAGATGTCTCTGGAGCTCTTGAGGCAATTAAAAAAAAACTTCAGAATGTTTCCCCTCATTATTAAAAATGCTAATTTTTGCGTAACAGAAACGAACATCATAAATCTACCCAAGATGAGGAAGCTCATGTAGAAAATACTCATTTTCTTTCCTTCACCTTCACTGCTGTGCCTCGGTCTAATTGAGGTGCTAGACTGATGGATAATGAAAACAAATTGGGAACTCTGGGATGGGAGAGAAAGAGATGCTGGGAATTCTACGAGCTGTTAAGCAATCTGCAGCAGAAGTAATAACTATGCAAAAGTGCACATTCTTGGAAACAGGAGTGTCTCTTCTTGCTTCTTCCTGGCTCAGTGAGAAATCACTACTAGACTTGTTTCCCATTGAAACGTTACAGTCAATGTGGTCATGGTAATACTTGTCTGATACCAGAACAGAGGTTGCTGGTCTGGATTTCCTCCTCTTCACGAGAAAAGAAACGGATGTGATTCTCCTTTGTCTCCTGAATGTTGGGGATATACAAAATGAACCTCCCTTTCAAGCAAGGCTTTCCCAGATCTTCCTTCCTGAAGTCTTCTTTGGAGTTATTCTCAAAGCAGATAAGCATCCAGGTCCATAGACACCCATGTTTGTGTCTATTGTACACATGGATTGTTGTCAAATGTCAGCCACTCAAGTGGAAGAACAGTTGAAAAGAAATACAGTTTTGATTTATAGCTTTCAAGAGCGTAAAGGGATAGGGACTCAGTTACAGCTTCCTCCTAGAGAACTGGAGGGCAGCGATTATCTTTCAACCATATTTATGAAAAAAGATTTTTATAGGCAATCACGAAATTGCAAAATTAAAGAAACATCATAGAAGACTCAGGACTCTAGAATAATGACATGCTTTGCATTTTGATTTGCTTTCCTGAGTCAGAGGGAAAGGGAAAGAGTTACATCTATGGCAGGGATTGTACATCAACTTGGGTTGCTTATGGGAGAATATCTTAAATATGGATATTATTCATCGTGTGTATTTGGACGGAGAAAAGGTTGAGAGTTGCTGCTGTAATGGACTACTCTAAAGATAAGGTTGATGTACATTTAGATATCTGTGGAACTGGCCAAGGAGAAGGAGATCGGAATCACTTTCTCTGGGTTTTTAAGAGCCCAGATTGAGGTTAAACCAAAGAGGAGGGAGAGAAGAGAAGAGAAGAATTAATGAGATAGAGTGTGTGTCCTCTTTCTCTGAGGACAATCAATACCAGTGTAGAACTCTTAAAAGTTAGTTCCTTTAAAATAGAGTCCAAAACTTTGTGTGAAAAGAGGTTTGATTGGTTTGAACGTGAAAATTATATGAAGAATTATGAATATTGTATTTTATAAACATAGGGTATAATTACAACTATATGTCAATTCTTGCAACAATTATTCAGAATGAATAAGGTGTGGCTTTTTGAGAGTATAATTTTTCTGACATAATTGTATGATAGCCTTTGTGTTTGATTTTCTCAGTAAGATCATAAAGAGGACTTCCCTTAATTCTTTGCTATTTAAATCACCCTCATGGAAGCCCCTGTCCTGGCTTTATCCTTGTCAATTTTTTCTTTCTTTCGCAATGAGCAGGTCTCATTCAGACACACCTTTGTTTGTCATTTGGTTCCTCTGTTTCTTCAGCTCCCTTTTCATTGATTTTGTGAAATTCTGGACTCTGTGCAGACCATAACCAAAATATAATTAGTTTAAAAACCAATTCCTATATGCTAGTGTACATCAAGGATTTTACAGAAATGGAAATGCTTCTAGAGTGCCCATAATAATTTTTAAATGTTGTTTTCTTGACTAATTTAAATATTGGTCTTATAGTCATGTTTCTACTATTAATTTTTTTAGCAAAGGTTTTTTTTTTTCCTGTGGTGGAAAAGGATGTGTCAATCCAGTCTCTCAGGAAAATATCACCAAAATTAAATTAGTGACTTTTTTTGGTGTAAGATACTATTTTGACTTAAATGTTTTAATATTTCAGGAAAAAGTTTGTCCTCAAATATTCAGATTATTACTGCTATTCTCTTTTACCCTGTATTGAAATAGACGTGGTTTTAGTAAATGGTATTTCATGTTTTTCTATTTATGATAGTCATCATAAATTGCAAGTGTCCTGTGATCACCCTGGCAGACAAATATAATAATGTTGCTTTATTCTTATAATCAGGCTGTCTCAAGGATTTCATTTCTCTGTTTGAGAGATGCATAGTTTTCGAGGAAGGGAATATTGGAATCCCAGTCCCCGTTCATTAAGGAACCTGTTCATTTGTCTTAGCTGCATGCCTCATGGGGGTTGCCAACGTGTAATAAGGAAGCAGAGGCCTCAGTCGAGCACAGCATTCAGCTTATTAATGCTAAAACTGCTCAGAATAAAGGCAAGTTGAGACAGAACAGAGGAAGAATATTGAATTGGTAGTCAAGGAGCTCCCTCCAGCTAT